CGAAGTTCGATTCCCAAGTGCCATACAAACGATCGATGGCCTTTTTCCTCCCGTGCCATGCCTTCTTGTAGCTCACATCGACTTTCCAACATTTTTTAACATCCTCCTGGATCAGGGTAACACTGTAGTCGGGTTTCTTTTGAATCTTGGTCATGATAAGATGTGAAATCATTGTGGCGGTTACATTTCTGTGGTCATTTTTTTCGACTTCTTGCATACAACTGTGCCTCTCAGTCCATTCTCTTACTTCCGACATTTCATGAACCCGTGTGCAGTGCGTCACCCGAGCCATCCACGGACAAGGTTCATCTTCGTTAGATGTGCACACCACCTTGAATGTTTTCTTATTCGAATATGTTGTCTTAACCTCCCTCAACCTACTAACGTTCCAACTCATGATACCCATCTGTGCATCTTTCTTGGATCGGAAAACAGTACCCAAACGGATAGTATCGACATGCCCATCCCACAATGGCAAGGCATACTCATCACGGTCTACACACGACGGGTCCCACTCACCCATCTCACGATACACGTGCTGACCGGTACTTGGAAATGGGTGTTCTTCAATAAATTTTGGTTCACTCTCCTCGTTTATTGATCTATCTGTTTCCGAGGTATCATCTGTGAAATCGTCTTCACCGCGAACGAAATCATCATCACCCTCATTGTCGCATTCTCTAACTGTTGAGCTTGTCCCTTCGCCAAAATTACGAACATGCGACGTGGACGTACCCTCAACATCAGCCACTCCCCCGTAAAAAGGGGCAACATCCTCAAACTGCGTAACCTCTGTAGGTGCCTGCGTAACCTGCTTCAACTCTAAATGCAAATACACATAGGAGAAAGGAGGAAAACTATATATCCAATCAACAGCACTATCAGTATTCAAGTTTCCAATATTCAATGAACCATCGCGTTCGCTACTCAGTAAGCTAATCTTCTCAATTATCCAACCATCTCGATAAAACCCAAAATTTTCATAAAGAATATCTACCAATTCTTTAAATGATATCTTCTCCCCAATGCTAAATGAACCATCCGGAGAGTTTTTAAAAGATGAAAAATCATATATCAAATCCTTGGGAAAATTCCAATACACATTAACAAAGTATGGTCCCGTAGACGCCATTTATACCTGTTGCAAAAAACAATTCTTCTCAATTACAACAACACATACTTTCTAACCCAACACCAAAAAAATTCAATTATTCTTTTATCATTCACACAACAAAAAAATCAAATTCATCAATAACATATAAACACTTTCAATTCTTTCCAATTACAACATCACATAATTTTCTAAAAAATTCAATTATTCTTTTACTCAATTCAACATAAGTATTTCCAATTAATACTACAATAACAAAAAAAAAATCAAATGTTCTTTTATAAAATAACTCTCCAAACCCTAATTGTCATAATCCATCAATACAATACAAATCATCCAATTTTCGAAAAAATTGCCAACATACACTGAAATCCATCATCAAAGAACAATGTATAATCATTTAACACAACTATTAAATCAACAATAAATCTTTTCTAAACTATACTCATAAAAAACCAACAAATATTTCTTACAAATTCATAAACAAAATAAAATATGTAATTACATTATATTAAAATAACAACTAACCTCTTCTCCAAATCGATTGATTGTTAAAAGCTTTTTTTTTTTTT